AACGATCGTCTGGAAAAATCTTGGCTTTTGTATTTTGAGATTTTCATAGTCTATTTTAAGAAAGCAATGTAATAACATCAGACTGCTATTGCATAATATCGATTGAATGCGGAAATCAAGAAAAAACGATCACATTTGTCGAAGAATAAAATTTCGTTTTTGCAGGATAACGTACCCTCTCACACTTTAATGAAAACCATGGCAAAATTAAATGAATTATGTTACGAATTGCGTCCTAATCCAGCATATTCTACTGAATTGACTATCAGCGACTATTACTTCTTTCCAAACTTAAAAAGATGGCTCCAGTTAAAGAGATTTGCAACAAATGCTAAAGTAGAATAGGAAACTGAGGTATATTTTGGAGGACTTGATAAATCGTATCGAAGTATAAAAATATTGAAAGATAGTTGAATTCGATGCGTCGAGCTAAAACGGTACTATATTGAAGCATAATATATAATTTTCAAAACAAACGTGTTTTTTATTATTTAGGTCGGGTATTTATCAGTCCACGTTGTACTTATATAAAGCTCTTAATATTTAAATACAATAAAATTGTAATTATCTTATTGATTGATAAAGACAAAGAAATATAGAACGGCATATAAAAATAATTTTATTTTAAAAGTTCTTTAAATAGTTTTTAAAAGGAATAACTTCGAACAAAGTTGAGCCAAGTTGAGTCAAGTTGCAGCAGAAGAAAAGGGGAAATTCACGTTAATTAGCAACGTTCACCAATTCATGCGTTGTGCATGTTAATTTCCCAATGGAGTACATACGCAAAGCCTTTGAGTGTATGCGTGTCGTATTAGTTGCTGCAGTTGGTGTACGAACGTACTTAGCGTAGTTAGCAGCGTACGTACACATGGCGTGGCAGTGTAAGTGAGAGTAAATGCACTACACAAATCGCTCCTCCACAAAACAATAACAAAACTAAAATTGCCTTTGGGCGTAGTTGTTGTTTGGTTGTTGAATTTTTTTTTGTTTTTATTTTTGTTTTTATTGTTGCAAACATTTTAGCTCTTACTATTGTTATATCTATAACGGCTGCCACTGTTGTTGCTGTTGTTGTTGTATTTGCTTTAAATGGCGGAAATGCTGTTGCTCATTAATAAACTTTGGCTTGTTTTATTGCAAAAATGGCACTCAATTGTGTTCATTTTCATTTATTATGATAGGCGGCGTTGCGTCGACATCTTGGTTCGTGCCGCTTTCAATTCTGTCAGAGTTGAACTGTTTTTATTATCCTTATTATTTTATTATGTATTTTGTTTGCTGAGTTCTTGTTGTTGTTGCTTAGTTTATTTTGTTTATTGTTCTTTGTTGTTGCTGTTGTTGTTGTTATTGGCATTGCTGTTGCTGTTGTTATTATTGTTTTTGTTTTTGTTATGGTAATTTTAATTGCATTAAAATGCGCACAATGTAAACGCCGGAAGTTATTATTGCGTTTAATTAATAACTTTATTGTCTATTGTTGCTAGTGCCACTGTTGTTTTTGTTGTTGTTGTTGTCACAATTGCGTGAAATCGTGCGTATGTTGTTGTTATGTGTGCACTTGTGCGGTAAAAGTGTTTAAATTATTGTAAAAATAGTACAAATTATTAAGTCATTGGAACGTTTGCTTATCAGTGCATGATTTCTAGTTAATTTCGTTGAAGGAGCAGCAAACCAAGGGAAAGAACAGTGTCTGAATAGGAGTGAAATTATTGTATTTTAATTAAGACATAAATAAATTGATTTGAACTTTAACGCTTACTATAACCTATTAAATAAGCCATTAACCTTTTATTCCGTTTTCGATAATTAAAACACCTTCTCCGTACAATTTATTTAATTTTATTACGATATAACTCTTATTTGGAATGACCATATGTATGTAATTAATGATTTTGTGTAGGATTTGCAAATGTCAATTTATTAAATTTTAATTCAATAACTATATTAGGCCTTTTCTTTTGTAAGCATATCACAAAAGAAAAAATAAAATGAGTACCACTTTCGATAGCAACTCTGGACAAAATGAAAATTTTGTTAGGCTTTTATATGCAAAACACGTAATAAAATTTAAAATTAAAATTTCAAAAATGAATAATAATTCTTTGCAGTTATTGGGCTAAGAATCTTTTTTTTACATAATTTCTTCCTCTCTATTTGTCTATTTCTCTACCTCTACCATTCTTATGTCTCTAAATCCCGCGCAGTCCACTCACTCTCGAAAATGAATAATAATTCCTTACAGTTATTGGACCGATTTACACTATCATGAACGTAACATGAACATGAACTTGAAAACTGGTTACTTATAGATGAGAGAGGGAAGAGAGTGTGATGTCTACAGCTTGACACGCATACATATGCAATGTTATCTCTATGTTTACCTTTTAATACTGATTACTCTCAATTTCTGTACTCTGCGCTACTACACACAAGCATTTTATACGTTTACACAAAACAAATCAAATTTCACTTTCATAACAGTTCATGACAGTGTAAACTGAAATAACAGTTCATGTTGTCGTCAAGTTCATCTCACGTTCATGATAGTGTAAATAGGCCCATTGGTAAGAATCCTTTTTTTAAAGACTTCTTCCTCTCTTTTTCTCTATTTGTCTATTTCTCTGTCTCTCTCAGTCTTATATCTCTAAATCTCGCTCAGTCCACTCTCTCTCTCTGTCTCTCCCTCTCTCAATCTCTTACTCTTTCTTTCTCTCTGGCTCATTTTCTGTCTAT